CTATGGCAAGATATGTGGAATGACGCCTTGTCTCTTTGGGACCCTTTCTAAGTGGGGAGGAGAGCAGGGGGTGACACAGTCCGCCTTGCCCAAGACACGGGAGCACCCCCACCCTCCGGCCCACGCCTCCCTCCCCCGATGCAGACACAGCAGTCGAGGTCAGTGTGAGGAGAGGACTCCTTGACTTTTTGATATTTTTCCCAAAACAGAAACAAAATAAGCCCATTGCTCGCTACTGGCTTATTTCCACTTAACGGAAGCTCCCTGGCATCTGTAAATACCGAGCTCCTTTTAATTTTTTTTCTAAATCCTTTATGCCAACACTCACACTCACACACACACACTCACACGTGCGTATTCATTCACAAAAGTAGCTGCATAGTCCTCTCATACCACAATGCAGCCAGATCCAACAGCAGCCACAACTGCGGCAAGCGAGAAAATCCTTTACCAACACTCACACTCACACACACACACTCACACGTGCGTATTCATTCACAAAAGTAGCTGCATAGTCCTCTCATACCACAATGCAGCCAGATCCAACAGCAGCCACAACTGCGGCAAGCGAGTTGGGAGTTCCTAGGCTTCCTGGCAGCAGGTGGGTAGGGGTGGTCAGGAGGGGGCAGGGCGGGCCCAGCAGCCCCTCAGCCCTGCCTTTTGTCGGGGTCCTTGGCTGAGGTCCCTGCTGTCCACTGCGCTGTCCACGGGACCACTGAGCTTCGGGTTTGATGGGCTAGGGGCTCAATTTCAGGGTTCATTCAGCAGATGTTGTCAGAGCACACAGTTGCTGTTGTAGTCTTGGATGGATGGATGGATGGATGGGTGGATAGATAGACAGCCAGACCCAGTTACTGCCCCACAGAGCTTATATAACAGTGGAATGGAGAGAGATCAAAAACCAGTTGCAAAATCTAATGCACAAACAAGTAAATAGGTCGTTTTGGGGAACGGCAGTGACGTAACAGAAGGAAGGAAGGGTGACCTGCGGAATGCGTTGGCTATTTGGGAGCACAGGCGGTTGAGGATGACACCCTGGGCAGAAAACAGTGCAGGGAGGGCTGCAAGGAAGAGACGTTGACCTTGGCAAGATCCCAGGGGCAGCGGCTACAAAGGCAACGAGGTTCACAGCCACAGAGGAAGTCTCAGAATGCTGCATCCAGCTGGGGGTCAGGGGGAGTCCTGGCCCAGGGTCTAGGCCCCCAGGGTCAACCTCTCTGATGTGAAGGCCTCAGAGTTCAGCAGAAATGAGGAGGAGCCAGTGCCCACTTGGACTCAGTCACTTCTTGGGGCCAGGTTCTCCCAGTCCCCACCCCTCCTGGATCAGGCCTCTAACTCCCTGAGGCCCTGCACACACTCTGCAGGCCCCAGGCACCCGACCAGCAAGGGGGACTCGGAAGCAC